GCGATTGGACACCAAATTAGATGTTTTCTACGATTACTGTGATCTTCAAAGTAGTGTCAAATCACTCGTTATTTTCAGTGATTCTCACAAACGAAGCACTCATTTGTCTGAAGCCATCAGTCGTTGCGTTCATTCCGATAAAGAAATTTGTATTCTTCTCAATACTAACGGCAAATGTTTTATCAAATTTTGATTGTTATATTAAATTAATTTATAGTTATAATAAATTTTTATCAAATATATATATATGGTATATGCGATCAGAATATATTTATCGTAATTCTTATTACCGTAATGAATGAATTTAATTAGGTACATTAAAAAATATTTTTATTTAAAATTATAATTTTACACTATTTTTACATTTTAATAATTATACAGCAAATTGAATCTCACTTTTAAATATCAGGTCATTATTTTTGCAATCATTTTTTACAAAAGAGTATTTGACATTAATTTCAACGCATAATAACTATAATTTAAATAACATTTGCGAAAGAGTTTATTAAATTGAAATCTTGAACTCCTTTATTGGGAAATCTTTGCTTTACTCCTATTTATATAATATTGAGATATTCACAGATATTTTTGCACAAATTATGACTTATAATAATGACATTTATTCGTTTGGATCCAAAGAGCACTTTCTATTGAATATCTGTCCTATTTCTCTGATCCAATAGTTGGCGACTGTTTGGTGACAAATGTATTCATATTTAATAGTCTATTGTATTTAATTGGAAAATAATATGTGAAAATATTTACCCCACTTTTCACCCATCAGTACGGGACAGGCGCCGTGAACGGTGTCCTCAATGCCCTCTCCATTCCTATAGAGATTATACCAGAAGACAGCCGACCCTTTCTCTGGTATTACTTTAGTGCCTAATCGGGGGAATACAGTGGAACCGCCTCTAATCACTTGCGATAACTGATGCAAATACAGACAAAATTGACATTAATTCACATGAGTTTATAATTGCGACAAAACTCACGTAAAACATAAGAGTCGCTGTCCTGTCGCCGGCGGCCACTTCTCTGGCCGGCGCTAAATGTCTCTCATCTGGCGGTCGGTCTACTATAAGGTAGTCGTAATGAGGCACATAATGGCCACCCATCCCATAGTTGGCGATCTGCACTAATTCACAGTGACTTTTGTCCATATCTGCCGACAGACCTGTCACTGCCTCTACTCTACGGTTGATATTATCCACAACTTTATGACTCTGTGGCGAAAACCAAGCCGTTTGACTCGTCCTTACTTTGGATATCTCGTCGCTATTGTCTTCCGTTTGGACCCGCGCTCGAGTCAACTGAATAATCAAACAAATGTTAACATAATTGTTGCAAAAGGTATGTATTGATAGGCATACCATAGGAGTTGCTAATTCTTTATAAGTTTCCATTTCATACTCTGTCATCAGATTATGAAACATAACGACTGATGGCTTTTCATTGAGTACTTCTACTTTAATTGGCTGTAAAATTAAGAGTGGATGTCCTCTATCTGTGAGATAACATCTCAAATCTTTCTCCTCTTTTGGCGTCTAATTAGACAAACATTTTTAAGAAATAAATTTCTCAAATCAATTATCATTGATAACTAACTTTTAGTGTCTCTCCCCTACAAAGTGCCTGATATTTGGAATAGTCATCCGATTCGCCCTCAACTATCTTCAGACGAGAAGATTTGGTTCCTTTAAAATATTCCGAATAATTTTGATTTGTTTCCAAATTATCGTGCTTTTGGTTAAAGAATGAAAAATATGTTATATGTTTGTGATGACCAAAAATAGAGGTAAAGGTGCTCACAATTTCAGTGGCCATATGATAAAAGGGCAAAATCTCATCGACAGAAGCGGTTGCATTGCCCTCGCGATGGGCTCTAATCATCGCCTCCTCGAACCACTCGATAGAGTAGCCGTAATATCCGTTATTAAACGAGTGTTTCCCCAAATACAGACAATCTCGGGCTAACACACAATGCATGAAGACATGAAACAAAAAACATTAGAAATCATATATTCAATGAGGCTTTGAAACTAAGTTAAAGTTAAGTGAAGTATGCATTCAATGAACAGAAAACTCGTATTTCATATGATATACAGGTATAGAGAATAGAAGTTTAAGCACTTATTTATAGGTTAATATATGGGACGTGTATTATATAACATACCCGTCATCTCGACGTGTGTTTGGTATCCGTAGATTTGGCCGTTGGCTAAGTCCGACATATTTAGATTATATGTGTCTTGCAGTCTGACGAGTGCGAGGGCTGCCCCGTGAAGGTCCTCATGATTAGGCATAAATGACTGATACGTATCTGTGAGCTCTTCAATGTCTGTGAAAATATTTCACATTAACGACAAATAAATGATTTTGTAAAACAAAAACTGCTTTTCATTTCAAAATAAGTTTAACGACTGATAACGAACTAATGATTAAAAAATTTCTCAATTTTAAGGTCATTTTCAGGCAACTATTGTATACATTATTTGGTTAATGTGTTTCAAAAATAGATGTTTTATGCCGTAAACAAAATAAAAAGTTGTTTTTTGTATTTACTTTTCCACAGATCTTCTCTTCTCATTTCGGTCTCAATTCTTCGCCAATTAATAGTCAGTCGTTTGACTAATTGAAACGCTTGTAAGGGATTCCCAATGATCTCATCGGTGGCATAGGTGCCGGCGAACTCACTCCTACCGGCAGTGTCCGAGAATTCACTCAAATAACTGATTAACAGATAAAATACCAATTTATATAATTATCACTAAAATGAGATTTATAAAAGTGTCAAAACCTCCTGATCTCATAGAGTTTCGATTCCATCTTTGATAAATAAGTGGACATTTCGCTCACTAAATGTCTTTCACTTGATTTAAAAGGACATCAAATGAATGGGAATTAATATATTTTTTATGATAATCATTGGGAAAAGGGTTTACTTACAGATGCATAAGACTTTGCAGATGTGCCGTTGAGCTAAAGATATCACCATTTGCTTCGTATAAATATAGTGTAATTAGTAATATAATTATTTTTGCTCGCATTTTTAACTTTGGATTTTTGAGATTTCAATAAAATTCTGTAATAAAAAAGAAGATTAAAATTTATTATTTAATGCAATGGTTATCTAATTAAAAGATTTATTAATTGATTATTTTAATCGAAATATTCTTCCATTGTTTCTAACAGTTAAGTAGATTATGATGTGTTAAGAAAATTACATTAGGATTAAGAGATAGCTTTGGTATTGTCTGTACTTAATATGAATTTAATGTTTTTTTGTGTAAAAATAGGTTGAGTTCACAGATCGTGAAGTGAAAGAGAGAAGAAATAAAAATATTTTTATTGTTATTCCGTTTTATTATTTTTATTATTATCATAAAATTTTATTATAAAAATGTTTCCAGCGATTTACAAACTTTGTTTATTACAAATCGGTATTGATTTGATAGTAAGTGTACATAAAATGCAAAACATCTTTTATAATCTCAAATAATGTGTAAACTTTCTTTTTATTACTAATATTGATAAATGGGTTAAACAATTCATTTACGGAAATAATTTTGTGTAATATTATGCAAACAATTGAAGAGTTTTATTGAAATATTGGGATAAAGATTAAGTGGAAGAGCACTTCCTTTAACTCTTAATTTCTTTGAAGCAATAAAATGTTAAATGACTTACAAAACACTTAACATTATGAACAATTAGTATTCATTTACAAACAATTATTTTTAGCCTCTTTCTCTCTTAAACGGTCTCTTTTAAAACGAAAACTCATTTGAATTCCTCTTTAATTTATGATATATGAAAAGACGAGAGAGAGAGAGAGAGAGAGAGAGAGAGAGAGAGAGATGTTTAAAGCGAATTTTTACAAATTTTAGAAAAATTACTTTTTAATTGTTCATAACGTCTGTATTCATAAGCCTATCATTAGTCTGAATATGAAAATCGTGAAAGTTTTGCACCAATAAGTCTCACATTCAATGAAACGTCTTATTATGTAATTTTCAGACAATTTTTGATAACTCAATATTTTTAAGTGTTTAAAAGTTTGCCTTATTTTTAATGACGAAAGTCTGCTTAATTTCATGTGAGTTATAATTTGAGTTCATTTCAATAAAGTAAAATTATACGGAGAGTTTTACAAGAATTTATTGATATCTAGTTTTACATTGAAGATAATTTATATTTTCAATTTATACTAATTTTAAATTTCTTAAATATATATTTAGAAAAGGATTTTCGATTTTGGTTTAGTTTACAATTAATTATAAAGAGATATTGAACTCGATTTCTCTTTTATATACAAAATCTATTAATATATATATTTGAATCAAGTTTTAAAAATACATTTTTGAGCTCTAATTTAAAGATAAAATGATTTGCCGGCAAATAAATGAAAGTTTGTTTGCATCAAAAAATTTAATTAAACCAAAAGGATATAAATTTTTAAATAAGTAAACTATATAAATAGAAAATAGTTATAATTAAAAAATGTTAGATCTACTAGAACCTAAAAATAAGTCATAAATTACTTACACTTTTAAAGCTAAAATAAATTATAAAAAATTATTTTGCAAAACAAAATAAAAAACACTTGAAATCAGGTGAAGTGGTTATCCATTACAGTGCATTACACATTTAATTAAATGTATTATAAAACTTATCACAAAAGTAAAACAAATTGCGATACAATATGTAGAATTGAAAGCAAAAGCTATGAAAATGTTGAACAAAAATATTTTTCAACGCGAAGTCAAACAAGTGTTGCATTCAGACACTGAAGAAGAAATACATTTGATTACAATTTCAATAAGTTTTGAGAACTTATTTTTAGATTTTTTTCGTGACCCATAAAAGGACCCGTTTCTCTATATATTGTTGATAAACACTGGTGTGAATAGAAATAGTAGTTATAGTCGTCCGGTGCTCACACAACAGGCTGTTCCTCAACTCCCCAACCGTTATATAATAGTTGTGCGAGTTTTGCGAAACTATAACTAATTTAAAATTATGAGTTGCATTCAGTTTTATACTGGATTTAAGGTGAGAGGAAACACAACCACATTATATCTAAAAACAATAGTATTATTCATAAATGAATGGATTGTATGCATCGACTATTAGGACTGGAGGAGTGACTGATTTTCCGTCTCAAACTAATGCAATAAAGTTGTGACACATTTTGCAATTCATATGCACAGTACAACTCATTCATACAGAAAATAAAAAACAATTAATTAATTATAAACTCGATTAGAGTTAAAAGTAAAGCACACATTGATATGCATGAGAGGGCCGTTCGCCAGACTATCAGCCGTTCACTCGAAACATAATTTCAATACATGTCTACAATATTTTCCATATCTTTACGTACTTTTAATGAGAATATGACGATAAGATGGAGAAATGGTTTTTAATAAAAAAAATTAATTAAAAAATCATTTTTTGCTGTCATCTGAAGAATAGCAATAAAAAGTTTCATTTAGTTTGAGAAGAGATGAGATAAAGTGATAAAACGGGAAACGAATGAATGAATGGATGAAACGTGAATTGTTTTGAAGGAGCGGTTATAATGCACTTGAAATTAACGCTTTATTAATGTTATCCAATATTAAGGCTAAAAATAATTATTATAAGAGATGTAAAAAATATTTTTTCGCCAAAAGCAGTGCTCCGATAGGCAGTGAAAACTGGACTTTGAATATATTGTGCGCCTAATGTTTATAATGTTTTTGACCCCCAAATTATAGGAGTTTTGGGTAAATTAGGGCAAATTCTCTCGATTCGCGATTTTCTTATAATATATAAGTTATGAGATGTTATGACAATGAGTTTATCTAGAGATCACAATTTGTATATCATTTACACCAAAATATCTCAACTTTAAAGACTTACATAATTCAGTGCTATTATACATGCTCAAAACTTTATTCAATACTTTTCTCTAACAAACAATAGTTTATATTCATTTTCATTTGAATATAATTGTTATTCTCGTTTCATTTCAAAGCAATTGTGAACTACTTACGAGTTAAACAATACTAAACCAAAACTGAGATCAAAACTATTTTCATACCAATCGTGTGGAAACACTCGACTGAACTGACTGTCAAATTATATAAAGAATAATTTTCTTGAAATTATTTTTACATAAACTTATAGCCAAACAAATAGTATAACATTTGTATAATATGTTAAAATGTTGCGATGATTTCAATCGATGACACTTCAGATTAACATTATTTGTCTCTTTAGTATTCAAACATAATTTGATGAGATGTTTGTTTGCAGACACAATCTTAACTGATTAATATTTATCAAGAGAAGTCATATCCCGATATGAACTCAATTCAATAGATAATTAGTTTTTCATGAATTCAGTTATTCTCAAAGAGTTTAACATATTTTACGGGAAATATATTTTTCTCAATTCAATGAATGAATGAATGAATGAATAAAAAGTTTAAGCCATGGGTGAAATGTTTTGCACTTTTTAAGACTTATGAATAATTGTAATTTAATAAATTACCTGTTATAAATAAAATGAAAACGAAAACTATGTTTTTAATTGTTAACCGAGAAAAATAAAACTAATTGTTAATTGAAAACTATTATTGTCGTAATATTAGCTGAACTTACAGTGAAAGTAATAAACAATTTTCTATTTTGTAATTCATTCATTTAAAATTGTATTTATTCCGAGTTTAAAATAATTTATTCAAAATAAATATCTAATTAGTAATTACTGACTATAATAGAGTTTGTAAACTGGTTCATTAAAATCTCAAATTAGATTCACATATAAAATATCATTAACTTTATTGTATAACGGAATTAAAGGATTAATTTAAACTTTATTTGCTCCATAAATAACTGTTAATTAAAACCCCATAACAAATGTATTTATAGACTAATTAATACTACGAAAATAATATGAACTCAAATTAATTATTTAAAAGTGACTGAAATGAACGCTTATATAATAATTTCTACCGTAATATACAATATACTAGTGTTAGTCCAGAATCTATTTCTCTGCCAACATATCCAACACTAAAGCATTAATCCCTTCCATAGGATCTAATGGTTGCAGTAATTGTTTCATTCAAACACACAATATATTCAATGCTTTATAAATGAGTTTGTCTTTCATTTAATGAAAGTTTATGTTCATATAAATTAAATATAGATTTATTTGCAACCAATTGGTTGTTAATAGCGACAAATATTGTAAAATTAGATGATATGCGAGTAATGAGAGGCTATAGTGAGATTATAGTGTATGATATTTCCATGATATCCAAGACATGCGCTTATCTCTCGTTTTCAATGAATTCATTCAATGAATGCATAATTTATTTGTAAAATTTGGATAAATATTCTGATAATAGTATCAATCGGTTATCATTTTAATGATTTTAATGACAGTAGTATTTAAGTGCAATTTATATACAATATATGCTATAAATTAAATCAATTTCTAACCTAATGGTCATTTATTTAGCATTTGTGTTACTACTCCAGTGAATCAGTCATTGAATATCAAATGTATGATTAAATTACAAACTATTGAATATAATATCAATAATTGTTTAATTAATTAATTGTGATCACATCATACATGAATATATCGTTTTGTTTTAATGTTTATAAATTACTAGATTTGAATGATAAGTACAATAGATATTGGAAAATGTATTAAATTGATGTGCATTTGTGGTTACTGTTAACATTGATATAAATACCAAGATCCATTTAAATTATAAAAATTGTGTCCAAAATAATGAGCAAAAAATGGTTAGAGAGAGACATAAAGG